GGGGCGGCCGCTGGGTCAGGCCCGGGGCCGAGGCAGCCGGCCCGGCCCCGCCGTACCGGCAGCCCTGCCCCAGCCCCGCGGCGGGCCGCTCGCCGGCCCCGGGAGGGGAGCGCGGCCTTCCTGCTCGGGCTGGCCCTGCCTCCCAGCCAGTGGGGGGGCTGCACGGGAACCCCCCGCGCTGGGGTTTGCCTGGTGCCCCCCGAGACGTTGCTGGTTCGTGGAGGAAGTGCCTCCCCTTCTTGCTGGGGAGAAGCCGGTGGAGCTTTCTGTGCAGGTTTGGAACTGCTGGGGGCCAGAGTCTGGTGTGGAGACAGCGTTGTTGCAGGTTTGACACTTGGTGAAAAAAACCTCAAGCAACTCTGTTGTAAACATGGTTTTTTCCAAGCATTTGGTTCAATGTCTTTGGGTTTTCCTGCTGAATTAACTGAAGGGGGATGAACTCAAAGGATGATAACCTGTGTTGAACTGGTGGCTCCCAGAACATTACTGGGCACATGATGTTAACAGCCTGGTGAGGGCCCTGCTGCTCATTTGGTCAGTGATCTGAAGAAAGTTTGCATCTAAAACCTGATGAAGTGCGCAAGCAACTGGGAGTGCTGAGCAGAAAATCAGAGATGAGGATCTGATACGGTGGTCTCACTTGTTTGGCGCTGTGCTTTTGGTGAGGCCACACATCTCTTCCCAGAGAAAGCAAACTGCTGGGGAATAGTCTGTTACGCCAGCAGAGAAGTGAGGGAGGAAGGGGCCTGTCTTTGCATGGGTTCCTGGCAGTGTGGAACACAGAGAGGGGCTTTGGTACTTCAGTGTGGCTCTGGAGAGAGAGCAGGGGGTGTGTTCGCTCAGCTCTCGCTGGTGCAAATGCTGCTAGGCCCAAGTTTGGTGCAAAGGTGGGCAGAATTCAGGGATGGTCTATGAGGGTGGGATTAAAGGTGGAAAAAAAAATGCTGCCGTGTGGTGACAAGAACTCCATCTGCTTCCTCCAACAAGGAGTTGAGAGAAGATTTGGCCAGTCTGCATGTATGTGTGGAGGACAGGAGTTGGACAGTGGGAATTCAGCACAGCTGGCCGTGGTACACCAGTGTGTGCACAGAAACCAAAGCGTCTATTTTTAAGTGATTCCCAAAGTCAGTGATGACTTTGTATTTGCTGGCAACTTTTACGTCAAGTCTCAATACTTCTCTATTTTTAATAAAAGCAATGGCAAGTATTGCAGCTGGGCTACCAGCCCGGGCCATTTTGTGGTCTGCTCTGCTTGGGAGTTTGTAAGGTGGCCGTAATGTCTTTCAGGGTGTTTGCTGGAAAATGAATATCTAAGTAAATGAAGATAAAGTCTGGGAAATAGATTTAAGTTTTACTTATTAATTTCTAGGAACATCTGTTTTCCCCTTTCCTTTGTTGTGTTTGCAGGAATCTGTTTACGCTGGCAGTGACAGTTATTTGATTTTTCTGAGAGCGCCTGAACACGGAAATTTCCTCAGATGTACCACTGTGGTTAGTTTTGTGGCAGTGTCCTTCCAGCCCTTCTGTCTTGCCGATAGGGTCGCGTAGTCAACTGTTAGATCCCTCTGTAGCAAGGTAAAAGGGGGGAACCCTCCCTCCCCAAATTCAAGGGAAGCTTTAGGTTTAGATCTTACCACGATATGGAGGCTTTGGAGAATGCCGCTGCACCAGCTTTGAGTTTTATCTCCATCTGCCAAAATATGCACGGCTTGCTTTTGCTTTTTTTGTTTATGTGGGGCTTTTCAAAGTCACCCTTGTCCCAGCTGTGGTGGGAACGGAGGGGATGGCATATGTGTGGTGATGTCCCCTCCTGATGGCTGTGTCCCGCTGAGCTCTGCTCACCTGAAGGCTGGCACCAGGGCCTGGGTGGCTCTTGCCCATCCTGTGTCCGAGGATCGCTCCTAGAGCCGGGCCTTCTTGATCCTCCAAGAGACATTGCTTTGACCTGAGCTGTGTGAGACAGGGCTGTTTCCACTCCCGTTCTGTAGCCTCAGCTCGTCTTTAGAGGCTGCTGTCATCTGTGGGAGAGAGTTGTTCTCAGTGATGATTTGGTGAGTGAATTAAAAAGGAGGCTAGAGAGAAAATGAGATTGTTTCTTGGGGGTGTGTGGTTGCACTCAGTGTGTGCAGTTGGAAATGACTGAGCATTGTTTTACAAGAAAGTTAAGCAGTATAATCTAACCCAGATTATTTTTATCGGGGAGAAGTGTGAGCAGGAGGAAAAAACAAAAAAAAAAAGTGCTGCATACTTGCATATCATGCTCAACTTCCCAGGGCAGGAATGTTCCCCCAGGAATTAATAACTGGCAAGCAATTATGAAAGTTCGTACCTGTCTCTTCCATCCTTGCTTGCCCACCCTCCGAGGTAGCTCCAGCCAGTTTTCTGCTCGTCGCCGTGTTTCTGGAGCCCGATGAGGCTGCTTATCATGAGACTCTCCTCTATCGCTGCCTGCAGGAAAACGTCAACATTTGCAGAACGAGATCAGAGCCCTTTTCAGATAATGATGAATGGAGAAGAGAGCTATTTAAAAAATTACTTTGCTCTTAGCAAATTAGCGTAACAGATTAATCCCTGCTCGTAATCCCTGGATTGTTCTCCAGGAGGCTGCCTGTGCTGTTACAGAGCAGGGAGGAATATTGCCTGGGCACTCTGCGCTCCTCCTCGCCGGTGTAATTGCTTCCCTTCTGTTCCTCCCTGGCAGTCCTGCCACGGCTGTGCAGTTACGCGCGCTCCCACCAGCCCGAAAGGATAGGATTTCCCTGAGGAGGGATCAGATGATTAGCTTATAAATAGTAAATGCCTGTTCAGGCCTACTTTCGAGTGTGTGTTGTTTGGTTGCTGTCTTGCTCTCTGCCTTTGCAACAAGTACGACCGCATCTGCACCTCGGTTCCAAGGAAATTGGGTGTGCTTTCTGTGGGAGATGATGAATTTCTGCGAGGAAGGAAACTGCCCAGTGCGAGGTGGTTTGGTTTGCAGCCGG